AATTATTCTCTAGGGTCTCTGCTAAATATATATAAAATGTTTGAAGGTTCTAAGTAATTTGCTAGCAAAAACATCCTCATTTTTAACTTGTAAACAAAAAAAAAAAAAAAAAAAAAAGTGTCAAAATAGGCAGAGTCTTTAAGTGGCTAGAGTATACAGTACTATTTGTCTGTTTCACACAGGAAGCCCTACTGGGTGTAGCTATCTTGGCCGATGATATGGTACTTAAGGAAGCCAGATGAGGTACAGAATACGTACACTTTGCAAAGTTGGGCATAATAACAGGTTTACTTAAACTACCACCAAAGTAGTATTCTAATGCAATAGCACGCTACATAAGTCAATATTACTTTTAGGCACCCTCTCCCTACGGTCTATACTGCTATTTAAATGCCTCTTACTAGTTTGCCAATATCCTCAATGCATTATAGGGAACAGGGACCACAAAAATACATTAGTATTTAAATATAATACATGAACTGAGTTGGGGCAGGGATCTCCCAGGGGTTTCCAAGAGGTGCTGTCAACAAGAAATTAAGAAAAGAAACCTTATGCACTACTAACTAAATATATAATCATTACCATCGCCTTCTGTATAAGGGTTGCAAAGAAAAAAAGCTTGCACTAAAAGATGAAATTATTATTGTTACTGCATCCCCAAGCTTGAAAGTAACACAGATTATTTTTTAGGCAGATTGTAAGTTAGCCAGCATTTCTTTCCATGGATCAGTTTACATTAACTGAAAGTTTATTTATTGTGCATCAAAAGAATGTTCATTAGGCAGCTGTTGAAAGACCTCTGTAAGACTTCACAGTAAAATAATGACATTTCTGAGAAACCTGGCAATTAAGATTTCACTACTCATTACAATGTATGTATTGTATTAGTACACCAACCTGTTTTGCTCGATGAGTAGTTTTAGAGCCTTTGGGTTTGTCAAAACCACATCAGCATCAATGCTAAAGTAATAGTCACAATGCTCATCCTGCCGGCAAATATCCCTAAACAGAACAAGGAGATTGTGTTAAAGTATAAATTAACAACTACAGATAAATACTGGACTTGTAAACTAAACACAAAAACCCAAGATCATAGCATGCCAGACAAGATTCATTGAATTCAACAGGTAACAATTAAACCCAGTTTAGGGGTCTTTTACTAAGGGAAAATATATCAAAACACCACTTTGGTAAAGAAAGCTAAAAATGCATAAGTTTTCTCTATGCTTGGATATAACATAAGGAATCCTGTTATGGAGAAATCAGAGGGAAAAAAAACCCATAGCATGCAGTAGCATGAAGGTTAAATCAACCAAAAATTGGCACCACAGTAGATGCTGGCAACTTGTTTTATAAACTAGCTTATTATGTGTCACAGAGACTTCTTTGGCAATAACCTAGGCAGAGTTTCCAGGTCCACCAGCTTTTACAAAAAGATCTTAGGATTAGTATTTACATTTTCATTCCATTTTCATTATGATTAATGTAGCAGAATAACTGCAGAAGGGAGATTCTTTGGCAATGGGCATGCATAGCGAGAACTTGGATGGGAGGGTCACTGTGCTGGAATTCTAAAGAAATGTAAGAAGAGAGTACATGACTGAACGTACCAAACATTTATGACATGGTCTGACCGTTTAAACATCAGTTTCTTTAGGATAAGTAGCATGATTTAATTTGGTTTCCTTGAAGGCCATGAGTCACATTTTAATTTATTGAATTTCACTTCGATTTTTATAAGGAAACAATAATAGTTTTGGGGGCTATTGTTTTAGTTTGTTTCTAAAACAGTTTTGTATCTGGGATAAGTCACTGTCATGGATCGATTAAATTCCAGCATGAACTTTTGCTTTCCTAAAAACACAGGCTTTACATGACAGAAAAAAAACCTAGGAAATCTGAAAATGAATCTAAAGCTCTATCTGCTGACAAAAAAAGTAGAACACAACAAACATATAATGCAAAATATACTGAAAAAAAAAAAAATGTAGGCCTGACCATAATAAACAAACATACTATGTACAAAACCACTACATGTTCCAACTTCCCGTCTAGTGATGTACCAATATGTCGCTGGACTTCTGGTGGTTATATGGGAGTTATCGGTAACAGTTTTTAGAGCTGGCGGTTGGCCTTCTTGTAATAGAAAATGAAGCGGCTTTCCAGCCGCTTAACTGGCATGACAAGAAGCAGGACGTCCCCTCCCTCCTACTGCCACTCTTTCAGGCTCTCCTGTCCCACCAGAAGACCTGAGAGACCAGCCAATGCATGCGCCAGCTAGCCGGACAGCCAAAAAAAAATCTGGGATCAGCTTTGATTGGCTCTCAGTTACAGTAAACTTGAAGCGATGACCTGACATCACTTCCAGTTTACTCTGACGTAAACAGCGCCATTTTTAAAAAATAAAAGCATTCCAAAACACTGATCTTGGTGTTTTTGAAGCTTCTAAGGAGGGATTTGGGGGTCTTCAGACCCCAGATCTCTCCCTATAGGAGTACCTGTCACATGCCTATTGCTGTAACAAGGATTCTTATATTCCTTGTGACAGCAATAACAAAAAAAAAATTATTTTTTATCACTAATTTAAAGTGCCCCCATCCTCCTGCTCAAAGGCAAATGCGCACATCGGTCCTGCATGCAGGCAAAACAGCAATCTACCCACATTCGAGTTATCACACATCAGATCATGGGCAGTAATTCTAACACCAGATCCCCTGTAGTAACCTGTAAAGGCTTTTAAAGCATTGCCTATGGATTTTTAAATGGGGCACTTCAAGTTTGTGTAACAAGGTGTCATAAGAATAGGGGACAGAAAACACAACAAAAAGCATACTTCTTTAACAGAGTGGGGAAAAAAAAATACATAGCAGGTTTTGATTGCTCTCTTGTGTCTTCCTGTCTCAGGGACACCTGCACTCTCTTGTGCTAGTGTCAGTAGAACAGGAAATGTTGGGGGAGATCCCTAATAAGTATTAAAAAAAAAAAAAAAAAAAAAAAAAAGATTGTTGGTGGAATTGGGCTTTAATTACAGCACCTGGCTGAATGCACGATTCTGTAACAATGACCCTGGAGGTCATGCTGTTCATTGTCCAGCTACCAATTGTCTTGTTTCATAGAACTTTTGTGGATTTTTGTTGATCCATTGGATAATATTCACTAATAATATCCACTAAAAGGAGAATCAACTCATACATTTAACAAAGAGGTAAATATTTATCTGCATGCATCTAAAAGGTGGTATTACATTCCCATGTTTCTTGCTTCTGCTTGTGTGATCTCTTCTTCAGGTCCAACTACTTTGAAATTCTTAATGATTCCCTTGGCTTTTTCCCAAAACTTCTGGATATGTTTTTCATGATAAACCTCCTGTAATTAAGGAAATGTGCCAGAGAAAGTGATATTTTAGGACACAAAATTACATTACTGGAAATATTGGATAACAGAGGGGACAGATAAGACACATACTAATGAAGGTATAAAAATTTTTAGACCCTACAGTATAACACATTCTTTGGATTCTTAATAGCTGCTTTGTTTTTTGGCTGAACTCAATGGACATAGGTTTTTTTTTTTTCCTCACATTTTAACATTTGTGGCCAGCTTTATAATAAAGTGAACTAGTGATTTTAAACAGCTTTGTTGATTTTGATAAATGTCTAAATAAACTGAAGTACAAATGTAAATATGCCAAAACAATTTAATTTGACATGAAGTTGTTAAGATATCATAAAAGGTGCCCATTGGGATGTTGAGGTGTTACGGTTTTCTAAAACTTGCTTGGAATTCTTTAAAGTGAACCCATAGGGGAAATAAATAGTAGTAGGTAGCGGAGACTACTACTGTCAGTAAATGCTTTTTGCTGTTAAATATCTGGCCTCAGCTCCCACTGACCACCCTCTCCCCCTTTTTCTACCCTATCACCATCACAACTGACAATGCTTGGGCCTGCTTGATCGGTTGCTCATCTCATTACGTGGTGGAGAGATCTTATCGCTTAATTCTCCCCTATACTAGATGTGTGAGGTTATGTTTTAACTGCCTGCTGCTACTGTTATTTTAGCAGCTTTATTTGTCCAACAGGTTTGCTTTAAGTAATCTCTACTTTGAGAAAAGTTTTATACTCAAGAAATTTGTAAAAATTTTCTAATTAAGAAATACATTTATGTAAGCAGAACTAAATGCAAAATGACATTATGTTTAAGCCTCTTGTTACTAATCAATCATCAAGGTTCTCATGGCACAGCTTACATCATTTTATTAGGCGTTTTCTTGATTAGAAGGAGCACTGATTAATACAACTCATGATATGAGTGGTTTATTTAACTAAATCCTGGGCAGTGACACTGTGGTTTTTAGTGATTACTGTTAGATTTAAAGTGATTAAATTGCATGTGGATTTTTAAAAATTACAATTGAAAGACTTTTCAATGGCAATTAGACCTTGCTAATGGTAGGTCAGTCAATTATACAATTATTATGGCAATAGGAGTTATGCAAAAACCTCACAGGGAAATTGAAAAGAAAAAAAAAAAAATCTATTTTGCTGTAAAAACAAAATCGAAAGAACATCTATATGTCCGACACACACAACAGTGAAAGAGCATGCCATTGTAACTAACCCCACTTCGAGTTAAATCACAGAGAATAAATCCCTGATTGGTTGATGTAGGCTGTTTTGCATATTTTCATTGCTCTTAGCACTGGCTTGTTAAGTCTGCTGGAAATGAGCGATCAGGAGGTCCTCTAACTTTTGCCACATATAGGCAAAGACACTACACCAATATATAGTGCCCCCACCTCTGTATACCAGTGCAGATATATAGATAAGAAAGCAAAAGGCATTCTATGTGATGCTATAGCCAGAGCTACAATGGAATGTTTTAGATCAGAGCTACAATGGAATGTTTTAGATCAAAGCACACTCATGTGTAAGAATGACCCAGTCAAAGTCCAGACATAAATCCAATTAAGAATCTTTGTCAAGCCTTGAAAATTGCTGTTCACAGATGCTCTCTTATCCAATCTGACAGAGCTTGAGCTATTTTACAAAGAAGAACGGGCAAAAATGTCACTCTAGATGTGCAAAGCTGGTAGAAACATCCCCAAAAAGATTGTAGATCCACCTTTTTCTGCAATTCCAGCTGCAAAGTATTGACTGAGTGGGGCTGAATACAAATGCACACCACACTTTTCAGGTATTTGTAAAAAATTGAAAACCATTCAATATACACACACCTAATATGCATTCACTACAACCAGGGTTCTGACCAATTTGCAGCACCTTAAATAAGGAAATAGGAAAAGGGCTCCAAAAGGACATTTTACCAGTTAACGTCTATTGTGGGAAAATCAGAATCAATATGAGAAAACCAATGAAAATGCAAAATACAGTATCATTATGTCATTACCCTTATTTGAATGTATGTCAAGTATAAATAAGGGCAAGAGAGCAACTAAGGCGGTGCACCAATAATGCAGATTGCTTCATTTGTAATGCTAAACATGGCACTCCATTATTTTCCTCATCCAGTTTGCTTCCAGCCAAGAAATACTGTAAGTAAATAATCCATTATGTGAAATGGCTCAATGAGCCAGATTAGCAGATCATCATGGATCTTTATTTCCTTACTACACATTATCTGGCCAATAGAAAAGATGAAGAAATTGCCATCCATGTAGTGGCAACCCCAGGAAGACCTCTAACTGCAGGTCAAATGACTAGTAGGATCTTTATCCACCTGGACCAGTATTTGTATGGAGCTGAGACTTGGCACTGGATCAAAAGATGGCACATGAAAAATAGTGTTCAATCTGCTAGTGAGTCAAGTAACTACTTATAACTGGAAAATCTGGTGGAGAGGATATTAGATATAATGAGATGGACAGTTAGAATTGGCCAAACTTGGGAATGGATGTAGAGGTCTTTTCTGGTGCGATTGATGGGTAAACTGAAAGATCATTTTGGCCATTGACTGTCTTTTAGGCTAGCTTGGACTAATAGTATACAAGATATTTTACATTATCTTCGCTTAGTTTATATAAAAATATGTTACACCAAGAAGCCGATTCAGCCAAAACTAGCAAATTTTGGCATATCCTTTAAGGGTGGGCATCAATTTTGAGAGAGCAAAAGAGAATGAAAGCTAAAGAGCGAAGATAAGATGAGGGAGGCAGCCCTGTTAAACAGTATGCTACTCATACATCATTTCTTCACTTTAAAAACACAAATAACTGCATTAAATGGCTTGTAAATGGTTTGAATAACTCATTAAATTTGCACATCCGTTGTGAACCATAAAAATGTGGGTCCTAAAAATAGCAGCTCAGCTGTAAGTTACAAGGTCAAATCAATGAAACATTCAATCAAGATACTTCCATCAAATGGGAATATAAATCAACATGCATATTTCTGAAGTACTATAAAGTTTATGAGCTTTCAAACTTACAACTGTCCATGTGCAATTTTATATTTTGCAGATCTCAGAGCTTGTAAATGCAGCTAATAGACCGGCATTAAAGCCATTAACACAGTATGGCTACAAGACAATAATGGAAAAACACATCCTATACATCTCAATACTTACACGGTTATGAATAAATACTGATAGTTTATCTTTGGGATAGTCAAGTGCCAACAGTCTGCTGAAGAACTCTGGCAGGAAAGGAGTTGGCTGTTCGACAAAGATTCCTACGGTAATATCTGGATAGCCCTAAAAAACATAAAACCAGTCAATTAAATAGGAGTTAACAATTACAAGAACATAGCTACCATCTCATAACTTTCACAATAAATTTAGCTTTGAATAAAAAAAAAAAATAAAAAAAAAAGTTCACCTTTTGGTAAAAAAATAAATGCACTTTTTTTTTTGCAGGTTAAAAAAAAAACAAAAAAAAAACAACAAAGTGTGCATTTATCATTTTGTCTGCAGGAGCCTGTAAAGCATTGCACCCGGGGTGGGAGCGGGAGCAGGAACTGGACAGATCGTAACATGTTACACTGTGAATGTGTGTGTAGCATATTACAAAAGATGAACTTCTCCTTTAAGATCTTGTGTTGTATTATTTAGACTGCTAGATGTATTTCATGTACAGCTATCTTTAATTATCTTTTAAACAAACTGATCTAGACCATCTATATAAAATGTGGAGCCTAAATCCTAAGAATCCTGTGTTCTTCAGCATCTGAACAGACTATAGATTTTACTGATGACCTACAATAGGAGAGGATCTGCCACATCTGTATCAGTGATCGCAAAAAAAAAAAAAAAAAAAAAATTAAAGGCTGGTTGTATTGAAGTCGATCTATACACTTCAGTACAATGAGAATGCCCATAGATGGATCTAAATTTGGCCAGTTCCTCCTGAAATCGGCCAAATTTTGATCCATCTGTTGCCAGTTTAAGATTAACATCACTTCATATACATAGGCCTCCATGGTAGAGTACAAAAGAGTAGGCTAAAGATGCAGCTTGGAAGGCACAAAAAAAAAAAAAAAAAAAAAAAAAAAGTATCAGATAAGAGCCTTATGTTAAAAGTGATGAAAAGAGCCTGGGGGCGGTGTTGGAGATTACTGTGACTGATACAACTTTGCTAAATAAGATTCCAAGATTCTGGCTAGAGTAAATAACCACTGAGCCAGAGATGCTTTCACACCCTGTCCGGGGTGTAACTACTCTTTCTAGTACGGACTGTGAACAAATGAATACTGGACAAGACAGGCTTACTATATCTGTATGTCAGACACAAGCTCTCCAGATGGTAATTCTTACACTTTCAGTTTATGAAGGAAAGTCTACTGTTTAGGTTAAAGTCATTCTGCCAGAATAGTTTGATTCATAGAGATTATGTTTCCATTAGAAAAATATGGCATGTTTAAAATATTCAGCAGAGAAACCTCTGAGTATACAAAGGCTTAGGCTTGTGGGTCACTGGGACCTTCAAGACAATACAGTATAGTTTCTTTAATAAATGTATCCTAAGTTTGATTGAGCAGCTGTCAGAGGTCAATCTCTTCATAAGCAATGGTTGGTGGGAACCACTATAAAAAACAAAGTATATACTAAGTTTGTCAGTCTGACAGCTTTGGCATTTGCTAAAAGTGCTAGAGTTTACATGCATAGTTGAATAAAAACTGCCTATGCAGATAAGGGCAATCTGGAGATAAAAACAAACTGTATAGCTATAACCAAAATATGTAATATGCTGTTTATGTATCTTATGATGCTTGATTGAACTTCAAGAGATTGCATCTCCGTTTTCTGACTTGTTTCTAGGATGTTCCGAAGACACTTACTGTTCACATCCACCATCACAGGAGTGCACTCTCAAATGCTGAGTTCATAGCTACTGCATCAAGAGAGAAAGTGCATATCAGGGGGTTTGAATCAGAGAAAGAGCTCACTCCTGTGTTGGTGGAAGTGAACAGTAACAGTGGGCATGGTCTTAAAGCCATATTGCCTTGTTGCTATTATGTTGTTAATTATAGGCAATGCCAGCTGACATTCCAGCTCTGGTTAGCCCTGCACCAAACATAGGCTGCATCCTACCAGATGTAGTACTTGTTGGGGCATTCAAGCAGCCACGGCTGTGGAGATTCTGCCATCCATGCTGTTATAATGGATAGGAAAATCAATGTTCTGGTACTCAGGCAGCCATTGCTATGGAGATTCTTCAGTCCATGCTGTTGGTGTGGATATGGCAATCAATTGATTTTCTCTTGTTCAGTCTGTAGGCAGTGTATGGTGGCCTTATAGGGTATAAATTCAGCCATAAAATGCAACAACAAAAGTAGCAGAAATGTTTTTGTAGGTTATCAACCCAGCTCAAGTGATAAAATTTCATCCCACGCTGCCACAGCATCTCACATGTACTGGCGATATTTTTGCTATTTATTTCTTTCACCCCAAGGAACAGAGAGCAGAGTCAAGCACATGTCCTTGCCTCAGTCAAAACAAATTATATTAATATATCTCTGTCTCTATCAGACATTATACTCATAGTATTTAGGATTGATTACTTAGTAACTGTTGGGATTTCATCCTGTCCTATTGTGACAGCAAGGTTAGCTGAAGCAACCCTGCCCTGACTAGGAGGAAAGTATGTGAGGGAAGAGAAGAACAGAGAATGGCTTTTCTGGAGGAAGCACTGGAGCATTCACACACAGGTTATAACAGATGCAAAGTGCTTCCACCAGAATTAAGGAAGTACAAACAGCTGGCAAAATCAACAGGTATTTTCTACATACTATGTAGTGATTTTACAGCTTTCAAAAAGCACATGTAAAAAGAGCAATATAAAAAATATATATATATTTTGGTTAACTGACAGTATATGTGACACAGCATACAATTATGTGCACTGCTCACAGCTCTGCATAATATAAACATAAGATTTGCTGCATTGTGGGCATCCTGTACTTTTCCATTTACTGTGTATTGATCTCTACAGACAATTGTAGGGACTGTACATATGAAATATTTTGCCAATTCCAATATGCTGAGCTGCAGAAGCATTAATTTCCAATGTGGAGCCCAGTGTTAAAGTTAGATACTCTGTAATTTGCTATAATTTTATCTACTTGTACAGTGAAAAAATGACAATTTCTTAAAGATATTTATTTTTAAGCTTTATTTCCAATGTGACTCAAAGCAACTTCCCAATTTGATTCTGAGATTTACAGCAATATGATCCATTCATAAAACGGCAAGCCCCTTTGATTCTCTGCATGCCAGAAAGCCATGGTGCATTACACTGAAGGATATTGAGGGGAGTACATGCTTGGATGGAGAACTTTGGAGCTGAAAACACCTGATTCCAGGAATTCATAAAGTACTTCACAAACTAACAAGTGCATGCAGGAACCTCTGTCCGCTTTCAAATTGTTCTCTTAAGTTCATTACAGATTATGTTAGACAAGACACTTGTTTTTAGAATGATTCCTGCTCTTTATAAGTTGGAGAAAAGCTTGGCTATACTTTTCCTATGGATCATAGGAGAAGTACAGATCACTCTGCGGCAGTCCTGAAACCTGTTGTCAGCTGACCTCACTGAGCCAGTCCAGGCTCTGCAAAGATCCCGACACCGGGTTCAGCCATTGAATGCTGGAGGGGCAGGGCAGAGAGCCAGAGACTGACAGTCACCAGCTCTATGCTCAGAGCGGAGGAGGAGAACTGAGCGAGCAGCAGATTAATGCTGCGACCACCTAGGTGAGTATAATTTTTTTTTATTTTTATACAAAGTCCTTCTCCAATTCTCTTTTAATTAGATTATATCTACACAAATCTATATTTATTTTCTCTATTAATGCCTTGTGTGTTACCTTTTTGCTCTTGGTTATAATGCAGACCAGTATTTTCACTGAGAACTGAATTAAATGCCCCAAGTTTTTCTTTCAGTTTTGCAATGTTTACTTCAACCCTGTGTTGTAATTTACTGGTTGCCATTTGTCAGCCATCCAAAGCAAATCACAGATTCGGACACAGTTGTTTTCCTTTTGTTTACCAGTCTGGAAATGCTCTTCCAAACTGCCACATATAATCAATATCTAAACAAACACACTTATCTTTCATGTTCCAAACCATTCAAGCCTGTGCCAGAAAGGAATTCTGCCGTGCGCTGGGCCATTCTATTTTTTATTCAGAACTGCTCCTGTTCTGTTCTGTTCTAATCTGGGTTTATATGGTTCTTCTCTGTCCATTTACAAGACCAGAAGTGACTGACAGGACAGAACTAAAAAGTCAGACATGTAAGCAATGACTCCAGGGCTTTGTGTCGGGAAACCAAGAAGTGAACACAGTGAAATACAAAACAACTTAAAATACAAGGTGCGACTCAGACTGTATATTCCCAAAAAAAAACAGTATGACCGAGGATGAAAGTGGAACATCTGTGAAGGTTTATTTCCAGCACATCATACTTTTCCACATTAGGAATTGTCAAGCCATGTTTGTTCTAGACATAATACTATAAACGACAAAACACAGCCACAGATTTAACCTGCTGGGTCTTCATTCACTGCTCATTCAGAAACTGACTTTCTGGATTTTAACTTGAGTTTTGTTTTCATTGAGGGTGGGGTTACATAAACTGGATGACATCTATTTTCTATCAAAACATAAAAATGTTGAAAATGGCTCTGAATAAATGGTGCCCAGTGCTGTTACTTTACAGGTTATGTAATACACTCAATATAACTTCCTTTTAAAAAACTGACAGCTCTGTTGAGAATTACTTGTTTGATGTAGGGATGAAATCTCATCATATTACAGCCATCCTGATGAGAATTACATGTTTGATATGGGAAATGGGGATAAGCCAAACTGCCCTGTGTTTGGTTTGAGCAGGATTCTGAGAATTTCAAAAACGTTCAGACGCTTAAACCTAATCCCATGGAAATCAATGGAAGCCAAATCTGTCAAATTAAAAATGACAATTTTCTGGGCTAATAAGCAAGGGGGTCTCAAAAAAAAATAGCATGGGGTGCGCACTGCCCTGAGAAACATGTACCAAAGCAAAAATAAAATATTCCAGTTGGCCAAGAGCAATAATTTTGTAAATACTTAAAGTGAAACATTATAAATGCCCAAAAGGAAAAAGTGTTTACAATTGCCAGCAAATTATAGGTCATTGACAGCTTCTTAAAAAAAAAAGCATGTGTATACCTCCTGAATACCAGGCTTCAAGCCTTCAACATGGATGGGCAGAGCACTTTGTTCACATGCTAATGGAGGACAAGGCCTCTTCCCCACAACCCTGGCTGGTGGCTGTGGGGTTCTGCGGGTAGGGGAACTATTGGAATCTGGAAGTCTACTTTAATAAGGAGGCCATCAGATAGCTCCCCCCTGCATGAAGAAGTATGGGGTACATAACACCCCTAAAAAAAAAAAAATGTAACCTAGAAATGCAAGCACCCAAAATATCCTTTATCAAAAAATAATAATCCCCCCAAAAAAGTCCTTAATTATAAATCCATAGTCAATCATGATGCCTGCCAACTCACCAAATAAGAAAACCTGAAAACATGGTTCATATGACCAATACCTATAGTACTCAGCAGGGTTGGAGGTGACATCAGAGCAGGGATTCCTGATTATGTCAGTTGTTCCTAGGGATGTGGAAGGTGCAAATGTTTACTTAGGAACCAGCAACAGAGGGAAGTTGTCATATCACAGTAGTAGAAGTACTGCTTCTATATATGATTTTTAGCTCCTGACTAACAGGGGCCGAGGTTTGGACTGAACAATCTGTTCATCCCTTGGGGAAGAATTCACATCAAATCATAGCCATTTCTTTGAGAAACACAAGTTTGATATGGAAATTAATTCAGTTCATATCATAGCCATTCTGTTGGGAATTACGGGTTTGACATGGAGATGAAAATCACATCCTATCATAGCGATAGCTATATGCAGATGACCATCACACCATCCCCTGCCTGTTAGGCTTGACCTAAACTATACTGTAGGTTGTGCTTAAGCCCTAGCAATCCTGCATCCCCCCCATTCTTTAACAGTTGTGATTTCAGATTTCACCAGCAGCTGGCCTGTCAGACACCATGACATTCTAAGGCTGCTGTTATATCCTAAAGGAGAATAGTACAAAGAAAACAAATCTGAGCAGGAGAAAACCCACCCACATATAGTCTGTGATGCTAAAACAGCCTAAAGGACAATGTTCTTTTTTTTTCCTTCAGGATAGCATTGAAGAGGACCAAAGATGGCTTACATAAGAAGGAAGTAAAGACAAATTTCATGTTCTGTTCTGCAGGGTAACAAGACCACTCATCAACCATGAACTACAACCCAACCGTTAAGAAACAAAAAAATATTATTGTTCAGATGCCTGAGAGACCAGCTCACCAACGCCTTGGAGTCAGTGCATAGTTGGAAGTCTTATCTATCAAGAATCTTCCAAAAAAACATGCTGCATTTTTTAAATGCTACAAGGTATTTCCTGTTGTGTTGTTTCTAGGATTTTTAACTGAATAAAAAAAAAAAAAAAAACACTTTGGCCCTAAAAGGTGAATGTGTGGCTCTTCTTATTTTAGAAAATGCATGTTTAATATGGTTGCTTTTCCTCTAATATGTCACCCCATTTTAAACTACTCATACAAACATTTTCATTTTTTACCAGATGGTTGGCAACTTTTTTAGGACAACATCTGTGCTAGCATCTTTGTTCAAAAAAATAGAGGAGGAACACTCATAAGCTACAAAACAGATCCATCATACTCAAGTGGTTTGGTCCCTATGCTACCTCGCACCTTGTGACCTAATGTAACAATTAGGTTATAGTCTTACAAAGATCAGTCCCCCTGCTGCATTTTTCCTTGTTTCCTGCCAACACAATACACTGGACAGGGCAATTAGACATTGGGAAGCTATGCCTATGGAGGAGCACAAGAACTTATTACAATATAGAGCCTAAAAAAAACAAAAAAAAAAAACAACAAAAAAAAAAAAACATTCATGTAGGCATGTTGAATCACTGATGGGTTTCTTCCACAGTTTAAAATGCAAAATGTCAGTCCTATCTGCACTGTAGATGTTATGGATGGCACAAATGGAACATAACACAGTTAAGAAATCTGGCAGATAGAACTCCTTAAGGAAGTACTTGCAGTTACAGTAAGGTTTCTTATAGAGATGGAAACTGCCCAGGAACAATGAACAATGTACCCATTTGTAAGGCAACAGTGTTATGTTTTTAGGGGGATCTATGACATCCTTTTACAGTCTGGTTAGTTACTGAAGTAGTTGTGGTTGTATACTGGAAAAATAACTGCATCAAAGATGAAGGGTTGAGTGAGTCTAGTCATGTTGCTGCACCTGCAGAAGCTTTGGTTGACCCATATTATAAACACCAATCATAAGAAATGTTCACAAGCAAAGGGCTGTACATGGCATCTGGTGTGCAAAGGAATCATCCTGCAGTACTATGTGAATGTGTCACTGTGCTTAGCCGGAGTAATAGTACATTTCTAACATGAAAAGTGACCTCTATTGAACATATACTCACGTCAATTGTTGATAAATTAATGGTGTTTAAATCACAATTTCGACAACTAATTTCAGGTGTCCACAAATCAGGAACATAATTTCCAAAGTAGTTTAGCTGAACCTACAGAGAGAAAAAAAATGCAAATGTTGTGCAATATAAAAATATATTTATAGTAAGCTAGGCTGCAAAAGGAGAAATGAAACACTATGCAGATACACCAGCCAAGCCCAGCAGTGAGGTATTTTGGGACACAAAAACACAAAGAAAGAGAGGTGTCAGGTCATGTTTGCACTTCTATACACTCCTTTATAGACCTTTTCAATCTGCTTTAAAAGGTGTGAGTATGAACCCTGTAAAGCAGGTGCTACTGCAAAAAAAATTAGAACTGCCAAAGACATCAAATATCTTGGGTAATTTGCAAGTTTGATAAAAGTAAGCCCTGCTATGAAAATAATGACATCTACTTAAAGTTCAACCCCATACAGTATAACAGTCTCTGTATGCAGTAATGCAAGCCGTATTAATACTTGGATACATACTTGGTATCAGCCTCTTACAGTCCTTGCATAGTAGAGCTCAGACTGGGAGAGGCAGACAGCACAAGAAGCCAATCAGGTGTGCTGCAGTGGTCATGTGCTAGCAATAAACATGCCGATTAAACTGCCTGGAGTTCAGCTTTAAATGAGATGTTCATACTCCCACATACACGATTTGAAGCTCTGTAGAGTGTAGAAGGTTCGCACTGTGAACAGCCTTCTTTCAAGTAACATTCCGGTCTCATTTTTTATTCTACTAAAAAAATCCATCCAAGCAACAATAATGTTTAGGCAGTTGGACCATTTATTGCACCAAATTCACCAGCAGCTGGCAATTAAAACAAATAGATTTTGTAGCTCCAGGTCCTCAAAAGCAATGTAGTTGTGAGCAGTCAGGGCACTGAAGAATGGCAGATTATTGGTGGTCTTGTGTTACTGAACTTCCCTTTAAACCAGGAAAAAAAACACAAACACACACACCAAAAAAAAAGTCTAAAAATTCACTTGACGTTGTAGCAGACAAGATACGTAATTTTAAAAATATGTGCAAAACATGTTGTTTCCGATGGGCCTGTCGCTGGGTAAGCCCATGTCATTTGTGGGCATTTGGCCTCAACAGCAGGATGGTCAGGAGTGCACACATCCGACAGAATTTCTATGTGTGTGTGTCTCATCTGGAAGCAATCAGCCAGCTGCTGTCCAAGGTTTTCGGCATTAATGTGGTGATCACTAAGACTCATTCAGGCAGGATTACACAGCAGACTAAAACCATCATTCATAGACACATATCATTTGAAACGTCCACTGCACAAATCAACGAACACACATCAATCATTGTGCCTTGTACGAGCTTACAAAAGATGGTCATCACTAGGTCAGAACAGTGCATCAGAGAAAGACAGGAACACTTTGTTTTTTTTTCATAAATTTTCCTATAGCTGGCTAAAAATTTCTCAATCCTAAATTATATATTTTTTACATTAAAGTAGTTCCTTTTACAGAGTCTGCTGCCTTCTCTCAGTTGGTGACTATCCCCTACCAGCCACTGTGGATTCCACTAAAAAGCTGCATTAGATTCTGCATTCAGATTTGCATCAGTATACCTTAAATTTGTGTTTAAAATGTTATTTAAATTATTTTTATTTTAATAAAAGCAATATTTCAGGCAGAAACATTGTATACATGACACTTTACCCATTACACTGATTGTGCATTGCTTTACGGGTTTTGTAAAGAGAGCACAGCAATAGCCATTTACCTTCAGAGTCTCCCTAACTGGAAGTTTGAATGAAGCTGTACTGGGCAGAGAGAAGGGAGGGAGGTTGACTCTTCAACTAGTACTTCATCTGTTAGATGTGTAATAGAAACCTTACAAAATGGGATTCAATCTCAGCTGTCCCAGATATCAATGGGAAGGCTCCCTATATATATCAGCCATTTTAATTAAAATGCACAAATTCCAAAATGAACACATTTTAATAAATCTGATGTTAACTAAATAGAACTACAATAAGGCATAAATAACATTCAGGGATCCTTGTTATCTCTAACTTTGGAAGCCATCTCAGAGATCACAGGTCTGTCAGAGATCACAAACTAACAACTGGTAAAGTAGCCGCTGTTAACAAAAGTTTGATATATTTCATGTCAATGAAAAGGTCCGTTTGGTTATAGCAAATTTTTGTTATCCATACCACAGTGTCAGAAGGTGAAAATTTCTAAGTCTTTTTTTCTTCTTTTTAAATTGTCCTCCAATTGCCTGCCCCCAAGATAAGAAAATAATATCTATTTCAAAGGTTAGAAAAAACAAAACCGAATCCAGCAGAGAAAACTCTCAACTATTGAAAGGCTCATACAGTATGTATACAACTAAAAAATTCAAGCAATATTAAAAAGGCAAGGGTTTTGTTTTTTAAATAACAAACATGTTCTACTTACCTGCTCCGTATAATGGTTTTGCACAGAGCAGCCTCTATCCTCCCCAGGTCCCCCAATGGTGCTTCTGGCCCCTCCTGATGGCTGAGTGCCCCAGAGCAAACCAGCTTGTTATGGGGGCACCCAAACAGGCTCTCTCCCGAGCCACTGCTCTGCGAGTAAATTCACACCTAGAGCTGTGGCTCAGCCTCACCGTTTCTTTCTTATTGGCGCACTTGCTGCGATTATAAAAAACTGTAGCGCTTAAAACAGATATAAGTGAAAACCCAACTATTACCTCGTAAAGATGTCCATGGACTAAATATGCCCCAAACCGAATGTAAATAAACTCACTAAAACTCAAAGCAAATAATTTATACCCATAAATAAATGAATATATATCAAGAAAAAGTGAGTATTCCATGCACATAAATCAAACAAAAAGCTAATATAAAGAAGTCCCATCTCCTTGTGAAGGTCTTGAACTATGTGACTGAATGATCTTCAGTTGGCAAAACCATGACAATGCCAAAAAGAAGAAATTTCCCATTCTGAGGTAAAAGTGCATATTTGACCATATGTGCCATTTTGGCCTCAACATTGATTGGCATATCAATTCTTTTATTAACAACATTTGGTAGAGGTCTGTTCTTTATAAATATCCTTTTGTTTTAATTTCATATTTTTGACATTTGTGGACATTTGTATATTGCAGTAGATTGTCAAATTAAAGCGTTTTATATGCCTAGTGGAGATATGACTGGCACTTTACTTTAGATTTTTTGGATATAGAAGGGAGAAAACAAAAAAAAAAAAAAAAAAACCTTTTACTTATTTGTAATATAATGCAATTACAATAACTACCTCCAGGGTGCCCTGGAAAATCATTATTACATATGGGTTGTTTAGTTATATATTTATACTATATATTTTTACCACTAGGGCCAGATATATTGTTCTCTTGAAGCCAAGTTTACTTGTATCTCTTGGCAATCAACTGTCATGAGAGGGACACCAATCAATTCCAGTACTCTCCCCATGGATTTCCTATACAAGTGCATGGTGGTGGACGTGATGAAGTCACATCTGACGAACCGCATTGGGCGGAGTCGGGGCATACATCACCACATTCTCGCAACCATCTTTAATGTGGGAATAGATAGGGAGTTTGTTTTAATAGTGCTATATTTTACCTGTTAATTTATAAGTGCAATTTTTATTCTAATAAAAGCCTTTTAGTTACGTTTTTACACTATAGAAAGCCTTTTTGCTTTACACATGTTGCAACTGGAAGCCTGGTACATCGAGAGCGGTTGGCTATTATGAAGCATGTTGATGCGTATGCTGACATATCTGATGGTGTGGAGGAGGCCGACACTAACAATATCTGATATCATTGAGCTGTTTTTGACCACTCAGTAAAATGGGGGTCAAACACATCTGGCACGCATCTTTAGAGCACGATGTGGAGAGACAAGTTTGCAGATGTGACAACTTGGTTTTGCCATCGCAAGGAGATGGGACTCCTTTATATGAACTTTAAATTTGATTTATTTGCATGGAATACTCACTTTTTCTTGATATATGGTACTCACTTTTCTGGAGGCATTTATTTATGGGTACGAATTATTCACTTTGCTGGTTTTTAGTGAGTTTATTTAAATTCTGTTTGGGGCACATTAGGTCCATTAACATCTTTCTGAGGTAATAGTTGGGTTTTTACTTATATCTGTTTAAGCGCTACACTGTTTTGCAATTATATTTGATAAATCCCAGCATTAGGATTTAGTGTCAGCTGCTTAGTCACGTATAATTTAGAACCAGCGAGGATTTCTTTTGCACATTTTCTAGTCACTGGCTGGGGATTGACACCCGAGGCTTTTATGCACATCGCGATGGGGCTCAGGCAAGTATTGGGGGGGGGGGGGGGCTGCTGCACACTGAAGGTTTTGACCTTCATGCAATGAATGCATGAAGTTAAAAAACCTTGAGCCTTTACAACCACACTAAACCCTTATACATTCTGTCTATTTGATCTTTTTAAATAAAGGATTGGTGCGCATCTGCTCTGCTTCTTACTAATGGTTGGATTTACCAAAACTGGAGCGAGTAAAATCTGGTGCAGGTGTGCATGGTAGCCAATTAGCTACTAACTTCAGCTTGTTCACAGAGCACCGTCACTCTCCTTTTTCAATAGCATAGGGAAGCTGTCTCACAAAGGTGATCTGGGCAGGGTTGATATCAATGCTTAAAGTGTTACTAAACCCAGGACCCTGCATCCACTATATCTGGTCTCCCACAGAACATGGGAATTCAATTATTTTAGTATATATAAACTGCTAAATACCTTTTCACATCAGAAGTCAAAGCTTCTATCAGTGTCCAGCCCAGCACTAGCTAAAGCTTATAGGAGGAGTTTTCCTTTCTGCTCTAGGATACAAAACCCCTGACCTCTGTCTGACCAGTGCGGATTAGCCCTGTGCTGATCACATACACTCCCAAGAAGAAAAAAAAAAAAAAAGAAAAAAAACCTCTCTAGCAGTACACGCCAAACTGAGCATGTGCAAAATGCTTACAGTTTCTGTCTGTCTGATCAGGAGATAAGAGGTTGTCACTTGAAAAAGGGGAAGATCAGAAGTCAAGATCAAACAGCCTTTTTACATAATGCAGAAGATTAACCCCTTAGGTTTCACAATGAGTATAACCAGCATGCTTTACTGCATATACATGCCAATTTTACTGTTGTGGGTTTAGTAACGCGAAGTTAACTCTTCTGTGCGCACAGAATGTTACATCTCGATCTTGTCAGAAACTTGGTGGAACTGTATTTTTTGCACTTATTGAAAAGCTTTCAGTGGTATATTTAAACAGACCCGAAGTGCCAAGAAATATCTAAACACCTAAAACATCCATCTTTAAAAAAGAAAAGATACATTTTACTTTTAAAAAGTGAAACTGAACCATGGGCGAGACCCCAACTTGTAGGGACATGTAGTTCAGTCTTTGCGATCCCACTATGAATCATCTATCACTGTTGTTCCATGTGCTATGCTGGTATTTATTAACATTGCCTACGCAATCTCCCACTCTGACCATGTACCGATAAGGACATCTGCTGTAAAACTCAACATACGCAGCCTCTTACACGTCCTCTGTTACCACATCTCCTTACTGCTTCACTTCTAACACTACCATAATACCTTATTAGTTTATGCCTAGGGACTATAAAAAAAAATAACCAAGTCTGATGATGAGACCAAAAACCACAAACTAATGTTAGCAGGAAAAGAAGCAAATGCTTTCCAGATGACATCAGCCTATCACAGTCTGGCCCGTCTCTTGTAAGACAGTTTTTCCTCATTTCATACAATTTCCTTCTTTCCGTGCTACTTGACCAAACTAACTCATGGGGGAATACAGAATCATCTGAACAGACATTTAACCCGGCAAGCAATAGCAGGACCCACACAACCCAGACATGGGCATCAGAGGTCAGAGAATTATGAATGTGAAGTCAGACTTCCTTCACACATATAATCTCCCTTAAAAGTCGAGACTGAAAACAAATTCTAAAATAACTGGTGAGTCACTCAGCAAAAAAGGAAGGTATTTATGACACCGGGTTTCCAAAAGGAATATACATCTAGCGCAGTATTTCATTTGCCGAAGAACAACGAACATCACGGTTCAAGCTGTTCTAGAACTTCACTTTGGGGGGCTTTACTGTAGACAGTGGTATTACTAGATATGGAAAGATTAAAAACAATAAATAACATGACACACATTTTTCATGGATCCCACACAAATTAAAACTGCAGATTTCAGTTTCCTGGATAGGCTTCAAAGGCAAGTATTGATTAAATACATTATGTGATGTGAAAAAAAAATTATGCAACTGACAACACCTCTAATACACTATTGACTGCAGATTAACAACTGCCAATTAACTATTCCTTCTCATGTTTGTTTCTGAAAGTAACTTTAGACATGTTCCCCCTAATATATTTATTTTTTATGAGTGCTACATCTGGTCCCCTTTGTTTGGCATGAGTAAGAGACGTTCTCTTGTTAAACTCTTACAATGTGTCCTGGCTCAATCTAATGGAAAAGGTCAAAATGTACTTTGTACAATACTCAATATGGGTACATGTTTCATGGACAAGAAACAAAACAAAACAAAAAAAAAATTAATTTTTCATTACGATTAAAAAAAAATAATTTATTTTTAAAAAGGTAAATTCAAAACAGCTCAAGCACTATATTTGCCCAATATAGATTTGGGACATTTTTTCTAAATAGTTTCTTTTTTTTTTGCAATACTGTATTATAGGGCCATTACCACAACCTGTCAAATATATTATACTAGCTTGAAGGTTATCCAGTTCCAAAGATTATGCACTGTGGTAGACAGGTACGTAGTAATCAATTCAAAAACTGTAAGACACAGTTACTAGTTAACTTATAGCTGTATACATATTTTTACCGTACTTTACCTTGGTAGGGCCATTTCCATGTATTAAAATTGGAAAAGTGTCATACTGGGTATTCTGTGCTCTAGCTCTTGGACCATCAAAGTAAACTGCAACCTCATCTGAAATACACAATAGCAGCATTGCTTTTTAAGAAAAAAAAAAAAAACAGGTAAGGGTGTTATATGAATAAACTAGTTTTGCATCAATCGCAAGACTAAGTTCAAAATTTGTAATGTGTTCTTATAGGTTTTTTTTTTTTTTCTGTGCTGTATTGAATTGCATTAGGTTACTATTGTTTAGCAGTATTCTGACATTCAGTGGTGGATTTTAGCTACTGCAACTTGTTTACTGAGTGATTTGGTTTCTCCCACTGTTCTTTATTCCCGTTTACTGCTAGTTCGTTCAGTACTAGCTAGACTCTCATTGCCTGATCCTTGTTCCCTCAGTCAGTGTTAGTATTTTACTGTAGAGCAATGGTCTCTAAACTGTGGCCCTCTGCCTGCCTTCATTTGGCCCTTGGGGTACTATTGGTCCTCCAAAACACTATTCTCAGTCTGACACAAACAATGGGGAACCTTTCCTCCCACAGACCCCAAATGATAGGGCAATATTTCTTCCCCCGATATCAATTGGCACTGTTCCTCCCATAGACATCAATGATCGGGCATAAATCCTTCCACTGACACAGACAATGGGGAACTGACTGACACAAAAATGTGGGTACTATTCCCCCTGCTAATACCAATGATTCCTCCCACTGACTCCAAAGAAGGGGCACTATTCCTTCCACCAACGTCAACAATTCACACTATTCCTCTCACTCTTTAAATGATGAAGCATTGTTTACTCCTACTGATGTAACAGCATTTTCTACTCACAATGGCCACCAGTTCATCAGGTAAAAAAACAAGTGGCGAATGCCTAAAAAAACTAAAGCCATCTAATGACTGGTAAGCTAAAAAACTACATTTAAGATTTTGGGTTTAATACCGCTTTGAGGACAGTATTTAGGTGTGACCTAGGTCTCTAACCTACACATGGTAACGGACTCAAGCAATGTTTCTTAGGGAAAAAAGCTTTTTTTTTCTTCTCAGAGAATAAAAAGTTCTGGTCTGGGTCCTGGGCCTGGATGCCTTGTAGAGCTTTACATTTAGGACCTCCATTTCTAGGTTTACATCTTCCAGTAGCCAGTCCTCACTGATTGTGCAGCTGTGCACATCCTTTTGTTTAGGAGCCAACTGAGACAGTTGTGAGACATGTGAGCAATGTGTGTATTCAGGACAATAAGGCTGGTCATACATGGAAAATTTTTCTTCTTTTTTTGATCAGCTGGCGGGCTGATGGAAAAAAAAATAATTCCACCCCATTCACACAAGTAAGGGAGATGGAAGAATCCTCTGTTGTGCCATTGTATTTTGACAGCAGGGATGCCTTTGCTGTCAGAATACTTATCAGCGCTGCAGCCAAGGCTCTGATGGAATAAAAAAAAAAAAATTTCCAACATTCCTGTTTGAGAGAATTTGATCATTAGACTGACTCCTCTTCAGTGGAAACTGTCCATAGATGAATCCATCTGACCATATTTCACCAGGCCAACACCTGCATGGGATAGTGTGTCTGGTGACAGACTGGAGGACCTGGGATAGGCCAGATTAGCCAGAAGACGGCACCATTTCAATGGATATTAACCTATAAACCCGTACTTTGGAAACCCAGCTGGAAGGAACAGTTTCTTTGAAATACATGAAGCCAGAAACCCCTAAACAGATGGTAAATGGATGGGGTCCTAAAGCTCAACATTTAAATATTATAAAATAATAAAATACTGGACATGCTGGTTGTGACCATGGAGCAAGGAAGGGGTGAGCTGCTACCAGTCATTCCTCTATGACACAACTGGCTTGTGTGGTAAGAGCAACCTCTGTGGGCAGCATACTCACAAACTGTGCCTGTCATATCCAGGGTTCAATAAGCTCACTCATCCACGGCATTAAAACATCTAGGAATTTGGCAAGGGAGGAGGCTGTGCAATGACAGTATGAAAGTTCCATCTCCATTTCTAGTTACATACACACATTTACTTTTATATAACCTTCCTATAGTCCTCTGAACAGCAGCAATTAAATACCGCAACCATGACCCCCAGAACCAACCACTGCAAACATGCGCTAAAAGAGAACTTAAGATGGCTATAGATGGATTGAATCTTGACTGGTTCAGCAGGGAGCAGCTGAGATTCGATCTATGGGCAGGCTGGCTGTACCCAAGTTAATCCTTTGATCGACTTGGGTACAACCAGTATGTCATATTTTTACCATGCAATCATTGCCGGAGGCTAAAGCCATTAGCAGTACGCACACATTAGCTCAGCAAGAGGGATTCACCCTTCCACACAGACTGTGTTGATGGGAGAATTGAGCGATTTTCTTTCCTGCAAGTCGTGGTTGCGGGAAAGAAAAATCACACAATGACCTGCCTCAAGGGCTTTATATCAGACTACAGATGCAAATACCACAACAGAGCCAGGGAAAGTAGAATATTTTTAAAAGACTATTAGGTTGCATGAGCAACACAGTTCTTATTTCAGACATGTCACAAACAGGCCATTTCTGTCATCACACCTACAAACTTTTCAAAGGTTGGATTCAAATTTCTACTTCACAAATCTTCGAAAATGGTTAAAATTGCCAATATTTTTGTCTTCATTCTACAATAGCAAGAAGTCTAAATTCACTGTTGGCAAGATGCCCAACAAAACCATAATGTTTGTATCAATTTGAAAAAATTTGGACCATTTTCTAACTAGTTAGTTTAGTATCTACAACAGCTGTATACATTTCACCCTGCTGGAGAAGTGTATGTCAGAGTTTATACATCATAAGCTCAGTGCATAAAGTTGCTGTTATCCTTTATTGGCTCAATATAGTGATTTTTGAAAATAGTCATTTTGCCAGCAGTAACTTATAAATTAACTGAAGTGAAAGACAAATATATCTTACCAACTGCTCCATTTAGATTTTGGAAAATCTGAGATTTGTGATCCAACGTAATGTTTATATGTTCCTGTACAGAGGGCGAGAAAGTAGAATACGTGATCTTAAAACAGGCATTGTTCTTTTCAAACCACTGTAATACAGCAATTTTTCTGTATAAAAGGGTGTAACTAAAAATACTGACATCGAAGAAGAAAGAAAAAAACATATACCGAGATTGAATTAATATTAAACCCTCTTCTTTTTAAATAGCTTACTGAGTAGGCAGTGTCCTTTTTCCACTCCTTGACTAGGCCACTGTTTAAGCTGGGCCCATAACTGTTGCCGCAGATTGTGGTTTCATGGCAACCCCTTTCTCTTCCAGTGTCCTATGGAGCCCTGCACCCTGCTCCCCACTTTCCTTCTCCAAGCTAACAGATTGAATAGAGACTGTTAACTCTTCCTTGTGAAAACCAGAAGTTCGGGAAAGCAGCACTGAGAGAACAGGAACCAGCAGCATTGAAAGCTGTAAAAGTGCTGGGGTAAGACTTGACAAGGAGTTTACTGCTAAAATTTTTTATTTTAATTTGGAGGGGGTTTAATTTAGTACATTATGAAGTACCTTAAAACCAAGCCCTCCAGGCACGCTGTCCCCTCTGACAGGGCCTCAGTCTTCCCCAGTCTTCCTTCCGGGTTTGCGTGCTCTGGCCTTCTCACTGGCCGAGCCGCGATGACATCACTCATGCGCACAGGAGTCCCGGGCCACAGCACAATGCTCCGAAGGAATGGCACGGGTATGCCGTTCCTTCAGAGCGCATGTGCAGGCCATCAAAAACAGCAAATATCTCCTAAACGGTGCACGTTTAGGAGATATTCATTTTAGCTACAGGTAAGCTTTATTATAAGCCTACCTGTAGCTACAAATCGCAGAGCAGACTTTACTACCGCTATAAGAGCTCAGCCTGGGAAAATAGTGCATGGAGCCAGTCAGCTGAGCTGCAGTGCCCACGTGTTAACATGCGGATAGGAAGAGAAGTACAGTGACTGACAGGGCAGCTCATCTATCTGCTACTTTTCTGTTCACCATCCAGTAACAGATCAGGATAGAGACAAGACTTTGTGTAATTAAACTGCAGCTAATTTAAAGAAAAATTTAAAGAAAAATAAAAATTGAAAAAAGCAATTTTAGAAATAAGTGTTTACTTTACGTTACCTTCAGGACAATAGGCTTTCAAGGCATTCTGTGTATTCTAAAATTATAGATGACTAGTACCTGCTCTAAGCATACACACGTTTATCGTATGGATTTCAATGGGCTGCCATACACACAAAATTAAAAAAAAAAAAAAAATGCCGAGACACATTTTAGAAATCAAACCGTAGTAAAATGTATGATACTTCGTGCTAGTAATTTAAAATGGAATGGAACCTCCTACCAAGATGCTTGGAGGTTCCATTAAAAATCAATGGCACCATCATGCATCTGCAAAGGGACTGCTCATTTTTGTGCAATGTGTGAAAGCACACACAATGTGCTGCAGCAATGCACTGGTGTGAATGGAGCCTTAGTGAAAGGACTAAACAGTCCATCTGTTAAAATCTATTCAAACCCTTTCATATAAACAAGCTTAATTTTCTATTTCTTGGCTTTTTATTGTTTGAGTTATCACTGGACATTGTTTTTGGATAAATTGCTAGCTGAAATGAATACTCGTAAAGTTATTGATTTACGGTTATCTTTTCCAGCTTCTATGAAGTTAGTTAATTGAAAGGAACATCATACTCTGGAATGCCAAAAAAGGCCACATATGATAAATATCAGGAAATAAAACGGCGTCATAGTTTGGCAACCATTACAGAAAAGCCTTTTTATTTCATAACATATTTTAGTTGACAATTTATCACTCACTAAGAAAAAAACACCACAGACACACACTGGGAATCCTATAGAATGACTATTAGTACATTAGAAGGCATATCCATTACTGGTTTTACTAAAACATAAAAAAATATGTCTAAATGTACCATAAGAGAAGAGAGTAGGTCTATGCAGGGCCAGAAATAGAACTTGGGGGGGCCCAGAGCACTTCAGGTTTGGGGGTTGGCCTCATACACAGATGGTTTACATTCTCAGTGCCAGTCACACATTTTCAAAATGCATGACACAATGTCATTCTAAGTTGACGTGTGCACACACATGCGCAGTCATAGGCGACCTTCCTTAAGAGTGTAAGCGCCAGTCCAGAATAAAAACTATTACAGAGGATGGCTGGCAAAATATTACTTCCCAAGATGCAATAATAGAAAGTAATCATTATTAGGTTATTTTACATTGTTTCATATTTTTTTTGCATAGAGGGGGCCTATTCTGTCAGGGTGCCCAAGGCAGTTGTCCCTTTTGCCTCTCATAAATCCAGAACTGGCTCTATGGCTATGCAGATACATGTGCACAGTACAATGACCTCTATTGACCAGTTGGAAGCAACTTTACATCTATTAGAGTTATAAAAAAAAAAACAAAAAACAAAAAAAAACCTGAGCTATGGTAGTTGTGCCAAACAAGTAGATGACAAAAGACTAGTCAGCAGTATTGTCTGTAGGCTCCCTGCTGATGATCTTTTCCCCATGCCTTATTCCATGTGGCCTGGTCACACACCAGGGTTGGTTTACTAAAGACAAATTGGCTGTTCACTTTGCAAGGTAGGTGGAAGTGCAAGAGAATTTTCCCCAGAGCTTAGTAAATATGGTTAAATTGCAGCTTGCAAAAATACAAAATCATGTGCAAGGAGAACTGAAACCACATTTTTCTGTGTACATGATTGGATAATGGATGTCGACACTGCTTCAACTCAATCACTAAGCTCCAGGGAGCATTACCTTTTAAAATGAACAATTTATTGCCTTTAGTATATCAATCCTAATAGGTTGGTGTGTGGAGGAGGCCATCTTGGTACAGGAACAGAGCTTTGTTGTCTCATGTCAAAGCCACCTTGATGACTGATGAGGGAATAATCAAGAAGCAAGCAGTACGAGTAGTGTAGAAGCCTAAATTCATAGAACGGATGACTAAATGAAGCAGGGAGATGCAGGCAGTGAAAGTCCTCCGCTACAGTTTTTTTTTGCCAGCAAGTGGCACAGTAGTGCATCACCAATCCCACTCCAAACTTTAGGAGTCCATCAGTTTAAGGCAACAGAGCCCATACAATGCAGATATACAGCTAGGAACACTCAAGGCAAAAAGGTACTGTTTAAGGGCAATTCACATTCTAGATATGTTGCCTATGAGATTGAGTCTTAATTGTTTCATAGTCTAGGCCAGTTTTAAACATTTGAGTACTAGAGTACTAGCCTGTAATACTTCTTCATTACCAGACCATGTTTCAGTTTAAGTGTTTACATTTGTCATCACTGCGATCAGAGTACAGGGTCACTCAGACCAGCTCTGTACACTGCGTCTGTTCTAAGCAGTCCGATAATGGCTTACATAACCACTATTGGACACAGCAGCCACCTGGGCCTTATTTCTGCATTGACATGTTTAAATTCTGATCTGAATTAAGGAACATTGCAGCATCATTTCCACACCATCAACACTATCAGAGGAAGATGCACTAAGTGGACTTCATTAGCAGAATCAACAAGTTTTTGTGGGACTTTGCAAGGGGTCTAGGAGGAAATTGCAAGTGTAGATGCCTTTATGAATAAGTGCTACAAAAAAAAAACAAAACAAAAAAAAAAAAAAAAACTCACAACTACAGCCTTACCATGATTCTTGCACAGGCTGCACTCCTGTGCTAAAATGTCTTTTGAACGTAAGTGACATTTTAGTAATGTCACTAGTTCCCTGTGATTTGAGTGCTAATGAGCTTCGCAAACCTCCTGCCTCAACAGTGTATGCACAATGGCTAAACTGATCAACTTATGAGGCATTTATAAAAAAAAAGTTATTTCCAGGTAGTCTAACACTTGTGTTCTTGCATGCGTTTTGCTATATGCAGCTATGTAACATTACTATATGAATAATGATAAGCAGCACTTTTTTTTTTTTTTTTTTTTTTTTAAAACAGAATGTGGCAAACTCAGTTCTGCCACCTCCAACACTGCCCTGTCCTCACCGACCTGTCTCTGGTTAACACAGAAGCTGGCAGAGGAAATGGTCTTCTGTAGTCACTTCCTCTGCTTGCTTCTGTGTTTACCACCGACAGCATGCCTGTTCGAGTGGCTCAGACTTCTCCCTGGCACCCTCAGGTAAGTGGAAGGGGAACTGTACTGCGTGCTCTGTGTCGAGGGCTCTGTACTGTCAGGTGCATTCTGTACTGTGGAGGGACTATGCACTGTGTGTGTGTGTGTGTGTGTGTGTGTGTGGGTGGGGGGGGGGGCAAGTAACATTTGGTTATACACTGACCTTATTACCCACTTCTAAGTCCTGTGCCCTGTGCGATATGCACTACTGAGCCCTTTACTCTGTGTGTTATGCATTCCTAGACCGTGCACCTTGTGCAATAATGCAGTTCCGAATCATGACCACACCAACCACCTGATGTGGCGCACAGTCTCTGCTGCTTTACTTCTCTCCCTCAGGATACAGGGGGAAGTTGGCGGAGGGAATGCAAGCCTGTTTAAAGTATACCAAGGGAACTCAAGTTACAGGAACAAAGGAACAGCTAGTGTTAATTCAGCTTAATTATGACAGCAAGAAGTTTAATCAGTAACTCAAGGAACCAACACTTCTCACAAGACCTGGCTTAAAAGCTTGACTATGACAAAGTGTCCAAAAATCTAAACTGTAAAAAGAAGAAGAATATGCAAACCCATCATGTAATATTCCTGACATGTGCCTGCTGTACCATGTACTTGCATTAAGAAGTATTCCGTTCCCTTTGTATGAAATCCCTGGTGTTCCTGGAGAGCACACCATGGTCAGTTACTAACTGTGCTGAGAACTCAGCCTGCCCTCCTTCATTGATCAGACCTGTCCTGACATGACCCCACCCCCTCACAGACTTTCACTGGGAAGATCAGTGTGCTTGTTTCTCTCCCCCCCCCCCAGCTCTTCTGCATCTGAGAACAGAGGGAATGTGATCACTTATATAGAAAAAAAAAAAAAAAAGTATTTATGCTTTTTTGTTTTTTATCTATACACAAATGTTTTGCCTTTTATTTCTATTTTAATCCAAATTAGTTGTTTTACAAGGTGAGGGTTTATAAATCACTTTAAAACTAATAGATGTAATATATAGTCTATGTCTTACCCGTTGAAGCGCATCAAGGTAAATTTTGGTGTAGAAAAGCTGATCATCATCATTATCTTGCAATGTCCATTGTTGCACAATTTGTTGTATACTTTGTACATATCCAATAAATCCTGGAATAAAAATATTAACACAATTATTGCAGTATAAGTAACTGTTCTAAGGCCCTGTTCACATCTAGTGATTTGGGATTGCAAGTGGAATCTCTGCGATTCTGCCTGTGAATTTAAATCGCACTGCAATGCTGGCAAAACACAGCATGAATGTTCGGGTGCTATTAATTTTCAATGGCACCTAAAAACGTGGTGTGGTTTTGCCACGATTGCAATGTGATAAATCATGCTGCAATCGTGGAAAAACCGCACCACTTGAAGCTTGGTTGCCCAAAAAGGAGCAAGAGCTTCTTTTGGGCAACAAGTATTGCGTGGCAAAACCGCACCGTGGCTAGGTGCCATTGAACATTAAATGGCACCAGAAGACGAGTAATGCGTTTTGCCCGTGTAGTGCAATTTGGAATTGCAGGCAGAACCGTGGTGATTCTGTGCAAAATTTCAAATCGCTAGAGGGACCCAAAAGTTAAGTATGAAGAAGATGAATTTGTGAAATATTTACATTAAAACATTTTCCAGAAAATGGAAGCACTGTGTTAATAAGCTTTCTTGATAAGATTGGTAGGTTCTTACTTAAAAGCTTGTGGACATGGCTAAAAAGTGGGCCTGGTCAAATAAAAAGGAGAAGTACAGCCAAAGCTTGTTTGGTTCTGCACTCCTGTGACCCGTTTTGTCACTCAGCTGGTCCAGGCCTGGGAAAGATCCCAAACCCAGATGTCTGGACTGGCACCTGGCTCAGCTTCTCAGTGATCTGCTAAGAGCCTGAGCCAGCCGCTCTGACCCCCTCCACAGCTCAACACGGGGGACGGGAGGGAAGGGCAGAGAATTGTGACTGACAGTCACCAGCTCTCTGCTCATGGAGCACTGAGAACTGAACAGTCAGTGGCGTTTGATCACTGAGTTCTCAGTCTTATTGGTGGGGGACAAATGCAGCATCTGATCGATGCTGCATACACCTAGATAACAGATTTCTGCAAATTAAAAAAAAAAAAAAAAAAAAAAAAAAAAAAAAACCCTACACGCCTCTTAAGTCAGGGTCACTTTAAAGGCATATGGCTTCTAACATTGCACCTCACTTTACTTTGATATATTTTTGACAAAATGGGGCCTGGGGATTGACTGAAAAGAAATGTATAGTTAAAACAAGCCAGGCAGTGCCCCACTGCATTGGTGTTCAGTGCTTCCCTTACCAAGCACCTACTGCAGTGTTGCTGCCTCTCTGTAGGATGAAATTGGATCAGTACTACCAGTATCTCAATGCCAGGTGCTGGAAATTAAACAAACATTCTAGTGCCTGGCACCCTGCTGTAATTCTGCAAAGTCCAAGTGTTCTGAGGTCTGCAGGACATGGACACGGGGGGGACAGAGACCAAAATTCTGGGACACCAACTATGCCGATGTCAGGAGGTGCCAGTATGCAGTACTGGCACATAAAAAAGCCTGGTTGTAATAATCCATAAAAGGTATAATTAGCGTTAACAGATCCACTTACTGACCGCTAAAACATAAAATAAAAAAAACGGTTCTAATCCCTAGTTACAAGCTTTACAACATATAAACGTCTTGACACCTTATGGATTTAATTAAGTCTAAAATGGAGACAGATCAGGCTCTAGAGAATACAGGGTTAATATGTGGGAAGCTTCACCGGAGATTCAAATGAAGCATGATAAATAGAGAAAGGCAGTTATGAAAACCTCTGTGTTTCAGCCCAGAGTCCCAGAGAAAAGGTCAACTTAGACTGATTGCAGGCTGTGCAGTTATGCGTTCCATGCATTTACAGTACAAGCACTCTGTTTAAACTTGAGCAAGTTCCAAACCCAGCTTAGTTCTTCCTGGCTAGCAATTTCAGTAAAGGTGGTAATTTAAGGGGAACTTGGTAATTTGAAAGTATAGTTCTACTGTTGCTCTAAATAACTGTAAGAACAGCAAGAAAGCAAAAGTGATACACTGGCCAACACAAAGCATTTTAGTTTAACAAGATCCTGCATTTCCATTATGTTAAGGCACCTTATGGACCCTGACAAAAAACAGCATAAAAGACAGGCAGATTTTTTATTTATACATTTACATAGTACTGCAATTTCTTTTCACTGCCGCATTCACTTTACAGCCTTTACCCCCAAGGATCTTACAACGGAATATATCTACCACAGTCCTACACAGGCAAAATACTCATTAAGGTCAACTTGGCAAGCCAATAAACCTACCAATATGTTTTTGGGTTGTGGGAGAAAACCAGAGTACCCAAAAGAAACCCATGCAAACATATGGCCCAAAACAAAACTTTATGATGAGCATTTTGTCGGTGGTAATAGTACCAAAAACTACACCATGTAGTTTGGATAAAGCCTTGGCAATTCACTACAGCTGGTATGTGTTATGCAGAGAGCGCACCTGCTGGTGCACATTGCATTGGAGCAGTATGATGCTTTGTTTGCCTTTGCCATCTCATGGTTTGCCTTTTTCTTTTTTATAAACATTTCATTCAACTCTGTAGCACAGCATATTGCAATGCAATGTAGTAGATCTCAACATGCTGTGTAAAAATGCAACCTTACTTTGTCTCATTGTACACCAACACTGCATTTCAGTGTGAACTGAAACCACAGGACATAAAAGCAAATTGAAGCGCAAAAGGGGCTGATGTGAATGAGCCCTTAGGGCTAGTTTACATGGGCTATTTCTTTCAGAGCTTACCAAACACCCCATGCATTTGGCAAGTATTGGCATGCAATGTGAAGAGGGAATAGGGGTGGGGGATTGGTTGAGTTTTGTAGTCCAGCAGGCAGGGCTGAAGATACTGCATTGTCAGCCCCAAAAGGGAGTTAAGAGCACACTGATATTTAGCAGATCAACCTGTATATTTTTACACTTGCAGTGCTTTTAAAAAAGGAAAAAAAACAAGGGGAAACTTTGTTTTGCCTTGCCATGCACTTTAAATAATAACCTAAGGAAGAGAGAAACTTAGAGACCAACATATTTTACTATAGTGAGAATAGTCTAACTTGCAATGGTGTTTAACCTGTCTTATCCTTACTAAGAAAGCATAATATGTTAACATTGCATTTGTCTCCTGGCAGAGTTATTGTTTTACTTTCCGATTTAAATTTGGTTAAGAATCTCAGAGATACCACATAAAAACGTTACCTCCTGAGTTAAGAAATCGTTTCCCACTGCGCACCACGGGGTACTTGTCCGCTAATCTTTTGTCAGGCCAGACTAATGCTTCTGCAGCAAATACAACCTTGTGCTTGCTTTGCTGGAATTTTGAAAGTATTATTTCTTCAGGGCCTCCAGAAAAGATGACATCGTAACTAGAAAAAAAAAAAAATATGTTTATTTTAAATGTGGGGTTATGTCAAACTCTTTTTACAAAGCAAAGGTAAAAGTCTATGAAACATTAGGTTTTCTGAACACCATACAATTGTATTCTTTCCACTTTCATTAAATCATATAAAGTGGAGATGAAGGAAATGACGAACTTCTTGGGCGCTGGTAACCAAAATAAGGTCTTGTAGCTTGTAAAGGCTATAACCACAGCTGCTCAATAGAACATAGGAGACGTGTAAATTAAATAGTAGCTGATGAGCGCTACTGGTATAAAGCCAAAACGCTAGTGACCAGTGAAGTATTACAAAATGGCAAAGATGATGGCAATGTTATCCAGAATAAAAAAAGGATTTTATTATCTACTTTAAGTAATTTAAAATCATAAATCACAGTCAAATATCCAATGTGGATCAAGGAAAAACGTAGGTGGTGTAGCCCATGTGTATAGATGTTGGTGCGCGCCAACGTCTTTTCCAATGCACGGGCTTCAGAGATTTGAGGCAGTATCCTGCTCTATGAGTGACACCTTTTCACAGTTGGCGACCCATACTCCAGCAGAGTGGTCCATAGGATTTCTTCACCATCGCCTCCTGCACTTTGGCCCGGTATTACATGTTACTTCAGCAGTAAGCCAATTTTTATTGCCAACATCTATACACATGGGCTACACCATCTATCTTTTCCTTGATCCACATTGGATATTTGACTGTAATTTATGGTTTTAAAATTACTCTAAAGTAGATAATAAAATCATTTTTTTATTCTGGATAACATTGCCATCATCTTTGCCATTTTGTAATACTTCACTGGTCACTATCATTTTGGCTTTATACCAAGAGCACTCATCATTAGCTACTGTAAAAGTAGAGATGACAAGAGTAAGTTTGGCAAAACGGATTTTTAGATCCATGAATCAGTAATAGCCCTGTTTAAATAGGCTCAACAAACCACCACATGAAAGAAAAATAAGTGTCAAAAAATAAAATAAAATAACCAAACCATGGTATAAACAATGCACTTTAAAATCCTTATCCACTGGTCATCTGTGAAAATATATTATCAAATGGCTCTCAATGAACATGTATGAAAATAAAATTAACACTAGTAGTTCTAAAGATAATGCATGTAAAAATATTTGGTATCACTCTGGAAGTGCTTTACATCAAAATATTCAAAACACATGCAAACTGCCTAGTGGGCCATCAATCAGCAAATTTTCATTCCGTTACATCCTCTGACCAAGAAATAAAAATATCCAGCATACGTGCACATGAAATATATATGCAAGAACACACAGTCATATTATGCTGATATGTGCCAGTATGTGCTGTATAAATGATGCAAAAAAAAAATAGTAAGAATGGAAGTGCCCAACAATCTAAATAGGTATTTTCCCCCAATGTACACAAAAATCTCTAATAAAACGTTACATAGAATGTAGGAAACTTGTTACCAAGTATGTATGGATTACATGGGTTCCTTGCTAATAACAATGTCATACAATTGCAAAGTTTCAGAACTATGCATATTGAAAAGTATGTCTATAAAAGTTTTTGATCAGTACAAAAACTTTCCACTATAGATATAGGCTTGCAAACCAAACCTGGTACACAAATTAGTTAATAGCAATAGCGTCAAACCATTCTGTGAGCTTGCAAAATTTAAACTGTGTATGCACTGGCACATATCCATAAACAGATCTGCTGGTTAAAATATTTTTTCACTGCAGATGCTAGCATTGTGATATCAATTGTCCTGCCTTCCAATTATCTTCCAGTAATAGGTCTCATTCACATTGGCGCTGTGGTCCATAGAGCATGAACTGGCCATTTGTTTATGTGGATGGAGCAGCCAGGAGCTGCAGGCAGGCAGCCACAGTAGCTGTGGGGAAGTAACAGTTATACAGACACTACCACTCAGGGTTTTCAAATCTGGACGAACAGAGTTACGTAGTGTAGCGTACATGTAAGATTTGAGTAGCGGAGATGTGACCTGTAGAAAATACGACAATGTAGATTTAGCATTCCATGTTATAATAATACAGGTGAAACTCAAAAAATTTGAATATCGTGCAAAAGTTCATTTATTTCAGTAATGCAACTTAAAAGGTGAAACTCATATGAGATAGACTCATTACATGCAAAGCAAGATAGTTCAAGCCGTGATTTGTCATAAAGTGTGAAGATTATGGCTTACAGCTCATGAAAACCCCAAATCCACAATCTCAGAAAATTAGAATATTGTGAAAAGGTGCAATATTCTAGGCTCAAAGTGTCCCACTCTAATCAGCTAATTAAGCCATAACACCTGAGCCTTTAAATGGTTCTCTCAGTCTGGTTCAGTAGGAATCACAATCATGGGAAAGACTGCTGACCTGACAGTTGTGCAGAAAACCATCATCATTGACACCCTCCGTAAGGAGGGAAAGCCTCAAAAGGTAATTGCAAAAGAAATTGGATGTTCCCAAAGTGCTGTATTAAAGCACATTAATAGAAAGTTATGTGGAAGGGAAAAGTGTGGAAGAAAAAAAGGTTCACAAGCAGCAGGGATGACGCAGCCTGTAGAGGATTGTCAGGAAAAGGCCATTCAAAAGTGTTGGGGACTTTCACAAGGAGTAGACTGAGGCTGGAGTCAGTGCATCAAGAGCCACCACACACAGATGGATCCTGGACATGGGATTCAAATGTTGTATCCCTGTTAAGCCGTTCCTGAACAACAAACAACGTCAGAAGCATCTTACCTGGGCTAAAGAAAAACAGACCTGGTCTGTTGCTCAGTGGTCCAAAGCCCTCTTTTCTGAAAGAGCAACTTTTGCATCTCATTTGGAAACCAAGGACCCAGAGTATGGAGGAAGAATGGAGAGGCACACACTGCAAGATGCTTGAAGTCCAGTGTGAAGTTTCCACAGTCTGTGTTGATTTGGGGAGCCATGTCATCTGCTGGTTTTGGTCCACTGAGCTTCAATAAGTCCAGGGTCAACGCAGCCATCTACCAGGAGATTTTGGAGCACTTCATGCTTCCTTCCACAAACGAGCTTTATGGGGATGCTGACTTCATTTTCCAGCAGGACTTGGCACCTGCCCACACTACCAAAAGCACCAAAACCTGGTTCAATGACCGTGGGATTACTGTGCTTGACTGGCCAGCAAACTCGCCTGACCTGAAACCCCATAGAGAATCTATGGGGCATTGCCAAGAGAATGATGAGAGACATGAGACTGAACAATGCAGAAGAGCTGAAGGCCGCTATTGAAGCATCCTGGTCTTCCATAACACCCCAGCAGTGCCACAGGCCGATAGCTTCCATGCCACGCCGCATTGAGGCAGTAATTGCTGCAAAAGGGGCCCAAACCAAGTACTGAGTACATATGCATGCTTATACTTTTCAGAGGTCCGATATTGTTCTATGTACAATCCTTGTTTTATTGATTGCATGTAATATTCTAATTTTCTGAGATTGTGGATTTGGGGTTTTCATGAGCTGTAAGCCAATTATGACAAATCACGGCTTGAACTATCTTGCTTTGCATGTAAATGAGTCTCATATATTAGTTTCACCTTTTAAGTTGCATTACTGAAATAAATGAACTTTTGCACGATATTCTAATTTTTCGAGTTTCACCTGTATAAGATGTGTTCAGAGTTCAGTCAGAGACAGATGTCGCCAATTAGCATCTGAAAAGACAGAGCAGCTGCTAGGCTGGAAGTGACACCCGGGTGCCAATAAGATTTTTCATACATACACATATATATATATATATATATATACATACAGTATATATATATATAATATATATATATATATATATATATATATACATATATATATATATATATATACATACACATACATACATACATACATACACACACATACATATACATACGCACACACACACACATATACACACATACATACACACACCCACATATACACACACACCCACCCACATACACACATTCAGACTTTGCCACCTTCTTGAAGAGGGATGCCATACATTTCAGCTGCAGGAGACCAGGGGGCTCCGATGTGTCTGGGAGCTACAAAAATGATATCAGCAGATCAAAGGAATGTTTCATCTCTCATAAAAGCTAAAATATTAGTTTCAGAGAGATGAAAATACTTCCTTCTGATTGGACACTCTGTAGGCTACATCTGCATGTAAAACTGTATTTGTGGCCTAAAGTAAAATCCCAGCGAAATGCAGAAAATGGTTATATTGCGCCTGATTGCAACATCTGAACAGTGATTGGTACTGTCGCGATTGGACTGATACGCTGGTGTCGGAAATTCAATCCCTGACTTGGTGAATCAAAACCGTTCCTGATCCAATCGACTTTGGGCATTTCAGCACTGAGAACATCCTGTGGGCTGGTACTTTCTGACACTGGAAACACCCCACAGAGTCAATTGGCCAAGGACTAATGTCCAGCCCACGTCCATATTTTCCCATAAATTAAGAACCTGGGATTATATATATATATAATATATATTATATATATTTATATATAATATTTCATTCAGATTAAGTCCCCCCTTATTCCCCTCTTACCCCAAATCCTTGTTCCTCATTTCACTGAGTCAACTGGGCACGCGCATGTGCGCGCCTCGGTTAGCTAGTCGCTGTGGGCGTGTGCCAATGGCTCCTGCTGCTATCAATCTGCCCAGTATGGAGGGAGACAGCAGCCAGAGCTGATACGCTAGTGCACATTGCTGGATCAGATCAAAGGTTAAGTGGGCTCAGGTAAGTATAAGGGAGGGGTTGGGTGCTTGGAATCCCTTACAGCCAATTTTTTCACCTGGAGGTTAATGCATATAATGTTTAAAAGGAGAAAACCCCTAAGGTTTTAGAACCACTAATTGATTTCCACTGAGAAGCTGCCAACAAGGCAAAATTAGTTTTGGGAAATAAATATATTCCCTCTAGATACTCCCCTAAATATATATATGCATATAATCACCCACATTTAGGAGGGGAGGGGG